CCGCCCCGCAACGCCCGCCCCCAGCCAAGCTCAGGCCCCGCCCCCGCCGCATTCAACCGCCCGCGGTCCCGCCCCGCCCCGACCGCAGCTCAAGGGGCGGGGCCGTGGCGCTGGCCGCACCTGCGTGGGTGGGTGGGCGGAAGCCCGCGTCTGCAAGGCTGGTGTAGTCTAAGCAGCCGGCGGAGACCACGCACTCTACCCCCCATTCCAGGCGTTGAACCAGGGCCTTCACACGGAGCCGCGTCCTCAGACCTTTTTAACTTTTTTTTTGGTGGAACTGGGGATTGAACTCAGGCCCTCTTCTCCCTGGCCCCAGACCTTTTTAACTTTGAGACAGGATCTTACTCTGTTGCTCAGGCAGGCCTCCAGCTTGCCATCCGCCTGCCTCGGCTTCCCAGCTTGTTGGGGGAAGAGGCGCGCGCCCTACCGCCAGCTGAGATGGGCTTGACTGTCCTAGGGGGCAGAGTTCCCTTGCTGGGGTGTGAGGGGCACGTGCGAGGCCCGGGAGCTCCCACGCGTGCACGCAAGTGTGCTCCTGCCGGCACTTGGGGCTTCGGTGTCCTTCCTGGATACGGGCCGAGATGTTAGAGGGAGGTGTGGGTCTTGGTCATGTCTCCTCTGCGGTCAGGACCACCGGGAGGTTTGGGGGAACGGTGACTGCAGACTGCAACACCCCTGGCCGGGTGACGTCATAGCTTCCCGTCTCCTTGGCGACGGGGCAAGGCCGCCGATCCTGAGGGCGGGGCGAGCTGGGCAGTCCGCTAACCGCGCGAGGGGTGAAAGTTTCAGGGTAGAGGCGTCCTCTGGTGGATGCCTGGGGAGAGGACAAAGGGAGGGAGAGGAGCTGGCACCCCAGGGAGAAGGCCCGCGTCCCAGGAAATCAACCATCCGGGTGTTTCTTAGCAGGACAGTGGGGGCACGCGCATGTAACCCCAGCACTCTGGAGGCGGAGGTAGGAGGATCGCAAATTGAAGCTCCGCCTGGGCAACTTGCGCGGCACTCGCACTGCCGCTGCAGGCCTCGAGGCTTTCCCCTTTAATCCGAGGCCTCCTTTATCTTGAGGCCGGGTCTGGCCCAGCAGCCCTGCTGGTCCCCGGCGTGAGACCCCGCCGCCTCGGGCTCCTGAGGAGCTAGCGTTCCAGCCCGCCGTGCCCGCAGTCCGCTGAGGCCCCAGGGCTCGAGGCAGGCTTGCTGCTCCAAGGGGCCTTCTCCAGATGTGGTGAGCATGCCTCAGTCTGCTTTTCTTTTTTTCTTTCTTTTGGCGGAACGGGGGATTGAACTCAGATACTTGCGTTTGCCAGTCAAGCGCTTATCCTACTGAGCCATCTCCCCGGCCCCTCTTTCT